ATGGACTGGGTGCCGTACTCTCACATGTCTTTCCCGATGGGTCAGAGAAAGCGGTGATGCATGCTTCGAGAACACTAACACCTGCTGAAAAACGCTACGGTCAGATAGAGAAGGAAGCGTTAGCCCTAATTTTTGCTGTCCGGCGATTCCACAAATTCATTTACGGACGCCGTTTCACCTTGCTCACAGACCACAAGCCCTTGTTATCAATCTTTGGATCAAAGAAAGGCATTCCTGCCCATTCTGCTAATCGTCTTCAACGTTGGGCGTTGGCGTTATTGGGGTACGACTTCGACATCCAGTATCGACGTTCCGAAGATTTTGGTCAAGCGGATGCACTGTCCAGACTTATCAGTAACCATTCTACCACTGATGAGGACACACTCATAGCCATAGTATCAACCGAAGAGGATTCCGGTGCTACAGTATTAGCGAATGCCATTCGAGCAATGCCTGTTACCGCTGAAGATGTTCGGGAAGCTACCAGAAAGGACCCGATTATCCAAAAAGCGATCACCTATGTTCAGAGTAGATGGCCAGTTAAGCAGCTGAGTGGTGATATGCAACAGCTAGCGAATCGTCGCAGTGCTCTCTGTATTGTTAACGATTGTCTGATGTTCGGTGATCGCGTAGTAATTCCAACAACCCTACGTTCCAAGATCCTACACCAATTCCACTCTGGACACCCAGGGATAAACCGTATGAAATCCATCGCTCGCAGTTATGCATATTGGCCGAATATGGACAAGCAGATTGTCGACTTCGTCAAAAGATGCTCGCATTGTCAAAAAGCTGCGAAAAATCCTCCTAAGTTGCCTCCAGTACCCTGGCCAAAGTCAGAAAAACCCTGGTCGCGAGTGCATATTGACTTCATCGGACCCCTAGATGGTACCACATATCTTATACTGGTTGACTCCTACTCCAAATGGCCGGAGATATTGCCAATTGCGCCACCATCTACAACTCGAACCATCAAACTCCTTAATCGGATCTTCGCTCAGCATGGTCTTCCAGAAACAATAGTAACAGACAATGGTTCACAATTCACATCTAGCCAATTCCGAGAATTTTGCCTGCAAAATTCGATCAACCATGTCCGTTCTCCGCCATATCACCCGCAATCTAATGGACAAGCTGAAAGGTTCGTTGATACATTTAAGCGAGCCATGCTTAAATCACGAGGGGAGGGGACCACAGAAGATATCATAGAACGATTCCTAGTTGCGTACCGGACGACCCCGCATGACTTATTGCCAAACTCCAAATCCCCTGCTGAGATGCTTATGGGGCGAAAGCTACGGACAGTTCATTGTGCGATGAAACCTAAGCAAGTGGCGCAACAAAAACCCCAGATGAAGAATACTCGAATTCCCTACGAGGTTGGTACAAAAGTGTACGTGCGAGACTATAGACACGGATGTGATAGATGGGTAGAGGGTGAAATCACAAAGAAACACGGGAACGTCATGTATGATGTCAAAGTGAACCAAGAAATCTGGACCAGGCACCACAATCAAGTCAGGCCAAGGGAAGCGAAGGAGAAAGAAGCAATTACAAAAAGCGTTCCACTCGACTTGCTGTTGGACACGTTTCAACTTCCGCCAATACCTCCAACAGAGACGACTAAGTCATCTACTCAAGTAGAACATCCTTCTGGTTCTGTGTGGTTGCCTCGGAGGTCGGATCGCAAAAGAAGACACCCAAAGAAACTTCAAGTAAATCCTCGATTACGTCGCTATTAACTTTTCCAAGGGGAGGTGTTGGGATATTCAGAAAAATATCCCAAAAACAATTATCCGGTTAAGTCTAATGCTACCCTTGAACGTTAAATGGTGTCATTTTCCTATTGGACTTTTCCCTACTAATCAATATTTATTTCGCGTGTCATTTCCCCATTGGTCAATATTATTTCACGTGTTATCTTTCTGTTGGTCAATATTTATAGTAATCCTAACTGTATAAATATGCATTTGTTTGTAAATCATTATTCGGCTCCTGACCCCATAAACAATTTCTCATCTACGGTTCGTGTTCTGATATATTGGAGATTGGGAACAGTATTGGGGTCGAACTGGGATATCTGAAGCTAGTCAATCGGTAGAAATTAGAGTAGTCACCTCGCGATACATAACAACAGCTTAATAGCTAAAGTTTGTGTCTCTAATTGATTTTCTAACCATTGTTTCCTTTTTTCCAAATGCTTTAGTTCGACCGAGGGTGGGGAGGGTCCACTCTCTCTCTCTCTCGAAATGCTCTCATATGGTCACTGATAAGGATGTTCTATTTAATGCCTTCTTGTGGCAGGGGGTGTTGTTTACGAAATTGGGAGAATGAAAATCGTATATCCACCCATTAAATTGTCTTGATGGATATTGAGGATCAAGCTAAGGGGAGTTAAAAAACCTTGGTTCCAAACCAATGGTGCGCATGGACCCTAATATCCTGAGGGAACAAATGGTGTATAAACCTGTTGTTGGTCACCGGCTACTATGGGACAGTACTTCCTAAAGTTGTTCCACCACCTTATGGGTGTGACCCCCTGAGAAAGTCGCCTGGTTCTGTTTAGGCACCTAGGCTGTATCACAGTTCACTCACAAATCGAATGGTGATTACTTTCTGTGGTGACCCTTTGTACCAACGTTTATGTGTTTAAACAGACAAAAAATATGATGCCCACTTATTTTCGACAGTGTTTCTTACAAACGGTATAAAACTAAGAAGAATAGGTGCGCACTGTTGAGGAGTCCCACAACAGAACGGAACGGTCGTCTAGTGTTTCCAGGTCTTCCATGGTAGTCCAACTTCCATTGACTCACTGTCTCAACAATTGAAATGACTACAATCTCCACTAAACCCCTTCTGATATATTGTATATATTGATTAGTTGGGTCATTAATGTTTTATTTTTACTGACAATTTTATTATTAATAATTATAATCCATACTGCAAAATGATAGTTGTCACGAGGTAGACAACAAATAATCATCGGATTATTTTGATGATTTATTCATAACATTTGATTAAGTTTATTACAGAAAAGATTATGTAATACATGTTAAATTAAATTCGAATTGTTTTAGAATTAAATATTAGATATTGTGTACTATATGTATGTTTAGTAAGCAGGAACTAATGATATTGCAGAATATATATACAGATTAGACTTTAACTTGACAAATGAGTTGTGTGTGTGTGTGTGTGTGTGTCAAGAATTAATTTCTTAATAGGGAAGCTAATTTAACACTTTTAACTGTTCATTTCAATCTAATCTACAGTGTTTGTTACCTTATAATGAATTGAAAAGTGTTTACATTTAAGGTTTTATTGATTCACCCATTTGAATCAAGGAGAAAGATATCATAAAAGATAGAAACACATCACTATAAACAAAGTCCCATAGTTAGATGAAATAGTTATGTTTTGCTTCCAGATTTCGAATGGTTTTTATGACCTAGGTTAGTTCGTGATCTTAATAAAATCAAACAATCTTCCTATCCCAATATTAGTAATTACCATGTACTCACCAGTGATTAACTTTAAAAGGAAATTCCCGGAATTCTAGTGTGTAGCAGTAACTAGTGTATTTCAGCTGTGTTGGGTGTGAGCAAATTACTCACCAAAGAGATTAGAAGAGGGTCACACAATCTCATGGATTGATTGAAGTTAGACATTAACATCGTTGGATACTGGCGTTCGTGTGCAAGACTGAGTGTCCTGCACTCGATTTCTGGTTGAGGGGTCGCGGATGCACACTGCTGCGGAGTCATATACTGGGACAAAACGGCTATTCAGTGCCTACAGGTCCTCAATAGTTGTCCAAGTTAAATCGGTTCGTGACCTCATTAATATAAACTAATATTTAAATAAGTTTATAATAGTGTATCTATGTTATCGTTCTTCATATTATACAACCCAATAATTTCCTAATATACTGAAAGTCCTATCCAGTAAAATAATAGTTTCTTATTCTTTTTGAGGTAGCTAATCGAGTCTTAATGTTTACACTTGAACTTTTTATATTGGTTTATTTGATACTAAATTTTAATATTTGGCTAATTTTTTATTGAAAACGTACACTCGCTTACAAGTGTGTCATTCAATTCCATTTTATAATTTAGTCAGATATAAGTAGGGCCTGGCATGAATAAGCATCTGTCCAAGTTGCTAACTGATGTGATGTGGTTTAGTTTGACTTACCCGTTCCCAAAATCAAGCTCGTGCTAAACCTAATAAATTTTCACCGTTATACATATAGTAACGTGTATCATATCCACATATGCTAAAGTATGTGTAATTTATTTATTTAAATACACAAACATTGGTACAAGGAGGTACCAAACAGACATGAGCCACATAAATCGTTCGGTTTGTGTGAAGGCTGTGATACTGTCCGGGTACCCGAACCGAAGCAGGTGGTTTTCTTAGGGGAACACACCCCGGGCCTTCGACCCAAAAGTATGATCCACAAGGCAGTGAAGCAACGTCAGGAGATGCAGTCCCATTGTAGCCAGTGACAAACAATAGGTTCATACGCCATTTTTTTCATTCAGAATACTGAAGCCCATGTGCACTATTGGTTTGGAATGAGGGTTTTCCAACTCCCATTGGTGGATCCTCCATATTCACCAACCCAGTTAAAGCGCCGGACATTCACTTTTCATCCTCTCAATTTCGTAAATGACAGTAATCGTATGAGAATGCAGTGAGTAGGACTTGTGTGGCAGTGGTTGTATGCACGTGGCTATGTGAGAGGATTTCTAGAGGGTGAGCTAACTCTCTCAAACCTCGGTCGTACCAGGGCATTTGGGGACAAAGTATGTGTAAACCATGCATACATTTGTCAGTAGCAATGAGTGGGTTTCTCCTGAAGTTATATGAATTCCAGTTGTTTGTGTATAATTTGTTTCATTTTCCTGATACTATATACTTTCTTATTTCGTTTTTTTTAAAAATAATTTGACTAAGTTTTGTTCGTTTTTTATCTCTCCATTTCTTTCAAGGGTGGCTGGGCATCCATTAGCTCAAAATGAAAAATGTTTACATATGTTTCTTCAAGAAAAAGTCATTGATCGTAACTGTAGACTTGGAAAATTACGTAATATCTGAAGTAATAAATTTATGAAATCAATTAATTATTACATAATATGATTGTCGCTGTTGATTATATCAGATAAATTGGAGGTATTGTCAAATAACCTGGTGGTGCTTATATTCTCTTTCATTTTCACTTCTCACGTTATCACTAGCTCTTCTTTTTTTTCTGCTATTATCATTTGTTTTGTCATTACTTGTATATTTTCTTATAATAATATATCTTCTTTGAGAGTCATATTCATGTGCTTGTTCAACTTTTTCAAACTTATATTCCCCCAAACATTTTCTTGTTGTTCTCATGGACAAACTACATCATATTCATAAAACGCTAATATATTGTTACTTAATAGAGGATTAATCATTCGATTAGTTCTCTATTTTATCAACAAGTATCACTAACAGTTTGCATATACATGTATGTATGTATGTGTGTGTGTGTATTCATTCGCTTATCTCTAGGATCATTAGTCAGTGTACTAATCATTGTTTACGTATTGATATATTGTGATTCGTTGACTACTTTACTAATAAATATGATGATGAAAAATTGCTTTTCAATATATATGAACGTTTATCATTATTTTGTTTTAATCTGATTTACTTTATTTGATTTAGTTTCATGATCTTCAACTTATCGTCTCTTTTATGCATCTAATTTATTTCATCGGATCACACTATTCATACATGTATGAATGCACTCATACACACATACATATGTGTGTGTGTAAAGTGTTATTGTCATTGTGTTATAATGATTATTAATGAAGCGGAAATCTTATTGTTGTGATAAATGTGATTTTCTTTTCCCTTAGTGTTTTTTTTTCGGGAGTTCGGTTCATACCAGGGTCAAGGGTGCGTCTTGTAGTTGTCGAGTGTGTCGTGGTATCGATTGTCCACCTAAGACATGATCGTGGTATAATCTACAAATTGAACTATCTCCACAAAATTCTCCTACTAAAATCAGTGATTGAACTTACCATAACGAAAGAAGAGGGCAGTTAGTCGATTTGATTGTGTTCAGATGATTCCAACCGGTTTAAAATATTTGAACGACATTTGCTGTATATCAAGATTGAATTACTAAACTCAATGAAAATGAGAAGTAACCGCTTTGATTACATGAATTTATCTTCTTGTGTCAACCTATTGTAATACTTCTCACGTAAATTTGTCATTCACAATATCACTGGATAATCTTTAAGAACTTATCTTACCTCCCCCCCCGCAGTATAATCGTATATAATTGTTTTCGGAACTGTTCAACATTCGATATATTCATCATTAGTACTGGATAACCTGTCAATCAATAAGTAATTCCTAAAAGCGTGAATACGGTGTATGAATCGTTTTTAAAATTGTGGTGTCTGAACTGGATTTAAAATTAATATCACGTCTGAGTGGAATGTTTTTTTAATTTTGAGCATCAGAAATTGGTGATAGAACATCTCATTTTCTGAATCAGTACCCCGGTGCGACCGAGATTCGGGAGAGTCAACTCTCCCTCTCGAATTGCTTATACATGGCCACATGCATACAACCACTGTCAGGGAAATCCTCTTCACTGCCTTGTCATAGGATTACTGTCGTTTACGAAATTGAGGGCGAAAAGTGAATGTCCGGCGCTTTAACTGGGTTTTTGAATGTGGAGGATCCACCAATAGGAGTTGGAAAGCCATCATTACAAACCAATTGTGCACATGGAATCCAGGATCCTGACGGATCAAATCACGTATGAACCGACCGTTGGTCACCGGTTACCATCGAACTGCATCTCCTGACGTTGCTCCACTGCCTTGTGAATCAGACCTTTAGGTAGAAGACTTTGGGTGTGTTTCCCTCAGAAAACCACTTGCTTCGTTTTAGGCACTCGGACACTATCGCAGCCCACACACACACAAATCAAGTGACTTGTTTGGCGCATATGTATTTGGTGCCTCGTATCAATTAAATAAATAAAATAAACTGATAATGGAGATTAAGGACAAGAAATTTATTTTGAAGTATACTCATGTAAAAGGTTTCTTCATAAAGGAATTGTGAATTTTTCATTCATATTCAAAAAACTCTTGATTCAGAAAATGAGATGTTCTATCACCAATTTCTGATGCTCAAAATTAAAAAACTTTCCACTCAGACGTGATATTAATTTTAAATCCAGTTCAGACACTACACTTTTAAAAACGACTCATACACCCTATTCACGCTTTTAGGAATTACGTATTGATTGACAAGTTATCCAGTACTAATGATGAATATATCGAATGTTGAACAGTTCCAAAAACAATTATATACGATTATACTGCGGGGGGGGGAGAGGTAAGACAACTTCTTAAATATTATCCAGGTCATTTGGGTTTTAAGTATACAAATTTAGTGTAGTCTGACAGTTAATTTTTGTCAATAATTTATAACGATTTATTCGATTCATTGTTTATAACCACGTATTCTATAGAATGTTTATAATCAGTGTAATTAAAGCTTACACTTATGATTGAGATTTATAATAATCTAATGAAAATTAAATAATTTCAAAGCCAATATTTTCGTTTATGCGAGATATTCATCAGTTTTGCATATCATAGATGCATTATAAGATTGAATTGAGGAATTAAATGTCTGGAGGTGAAGATACCACAAGTATTTGTAGTTGGACAACACTCTAACCAGTAATACTTTCTATGATTGAATCGTGCCTACCTAGTAAAATCAAAAATCAGCAGCAAATAGATTCGAACATAGTATTTGAAAGGTTATCAATATATCGAGGAGTGACTGATGTATACTGGCTAGCGGTTGCAGGACAAGTTGAACATAGCGTTCCCACTCGTGATCTAATGCGGATGCATGACCGGGCGCTCTCATCTAGGTGGGTTCATTAAAACTAATGTGGTCAGTATCAAATGTCGAAGACTTACGGATTTATTGATTTTTGGGATTTGTTTACCGCTACAGAGGGCTTTCATCTTCTGAGATAAGGTCGATTTGTTTAGAATTTTCGTGTTGTAATCCAGTGAGTTGACCTCTAGACTTTCGATTTGTAAGTAGTAGATCTGAATCTCAATCAAATTACTTCGGTAACATTATCCCTCATACAAAGTGTTTCTCAAAGTCGGCTACGTAAACCTGCATCGTTTACTCCATCAGTCAAAAGAACAAGTGAAGTGACTTTATTAGGATCATCAATCCTCTTTGATTTCGTTCTCTAATTTCACGTCATAGATCCTTATGTAAATTTAATAAATGAACTAAGACCACGCTATTTATTTTAATTCTTCATAAATTTGACTTCTCTATCTTCTCGCCAAGAAAATAGCAGATTCTGAGTGCGACATTCTATGGCCAGCAAGGATTGAAAAATCTTTTCTATATGTGAGTATCATTTGATAGCCTTGTTGAATTACATGACCTACATTATTGGTACTTCAATAAATTCAGATGTTTTCCCAAAAAATCATACATGTCATCCCATCTTTCAATACACTATACTCTTAAACAGTGAAAATAGTTGCCAACTGGTTAATATTAAATGTGAAGGTTCTGTAAAACAGTAAGCTGTACGACAAGTGGATAAATTGTTTAATGTACATTCTAGGGCAAAAACTTGACATCTGTCATTCAAAAATGAATATAACTTTGTAGCTGTGCTACCTTCCTAGCATAATCATGTTTTTCACATATGGTTTATTAAAGATAGCTCTATACTTGCGGGATTTGTTGGAAAGCGATGTCACCTTTGACTATGAATTTCGCTTACCAAAATATGGTACAAATCCATGAAAACATTGACAAGTGGACTGGGCCGTGTTGTTAGGTGTAAACTATCTGGTTGAGATCCGTGAGACGATAGCAACCGATGGTTAGAGACGTTGAATGACATGGCTCAAAATCGTTTGCAATGGCGCAGGTGCATTCACTCTTTGTGTTCTCCCAAATTTTAATCTTCTGAATTCTTCATGTTTCCTTTTTATCTCTTTCCAGATTTATTTCACTGGATTATACCCCTTGAATAACATCTTCAAACCCTAATCTTTCCGATAACTGTTTATACCTTTACTACTATAGGATTTGAATCGACAATTGTAACTCTGTGTTAATGTGGTGTGGCAACTTGAACTGATTTACGTACATACGTACGAAGTTTTACGTTGTTCCTGACTAGTGGATTTCGCTTGCATTCTGTAAAAATGTTCAGTTGAAATAATTTATGAATTATGTCTTTTTAAATAAGATATTCATACTCATTTAAGTTATTCCCTGGTCATTTCTGTAAATCAATCTGCGTTCTGTGAACATTATATAGATAATATTATCGCTCTTTATCAACCCTAATGTTATGTCCCGATAAGCGTAATGAATGATAACTTTTGGAATCCATTTATGTACCAATACTATGCGTTTATTTTTATCGTATAATTGTTAAATAAGTATACTATTCATGCGCCTCTTATTATAAGCTTTATTTTGACCTATGAACTATTATTATACAATTTACCTTTCTTGAGTTATGCCCTGTCTGTTAATTACTATCTTCCATAATCACAGCCACATTTGGCTAAATCTTGCACAAATGTTATTTTCCATTTTACAGTACGATGTGGTCTGTCTGGTTGGTATATAAACCCAGCATATCTGGAATACATTATTTATATTGCAGAGGCTGAGATTGGTGTTCTGGACTCAGGCAGGGCTAGGCGAGAAGCAGGACTGATAAGTACTCTAGAGTGCTCGCACGCGTTTTATGCGTCATTGGTCCGATCCATAATTCACTGCTTTCTAATTGGTGGTATCAATACGTTAAACATTAATAGGGCATACAGGCCACAAGTTATAACACTTAACTATAGAATAAGCACAATTGACAAAATTGTAAATTTCTTTATGCTATTTATAAGGTTAGATTTTTGCTAATGGTTTAAATTCCTCTCGTTATGTGCTAGGGTTTTATACGTGTACGTTGTAATGACTGGTGCAAACTTATTTACTCACTTACTTGCGCCTATTACTCCTCATGA